TAAAAAGTAAGTTCCACCCGGACAGATACTTCCTTAGAACTGTTACTTTTTGGAATAAACTTCAAGGAGAATGCTTTCTGGACAACTAAAAACTTGGTCTCTTTCAGTTCAGAAGTAACTGATATCTGACTGAATATACACAAGTACAGTTTGAGTTTTTATGATCAGATTTTATGCAAAAAATATAGGGTGTTGCATACATAGGTAACTTTTCGTTTTTTTTTTTGAAAAAGTTAAAAATCTTGCATTTATGGTGACCAGTTGCACTATACATAGGTAAATATTTTCTAGAGGGGTTAAAATTAATGCAAAAATTTTCAGGTGTTGCACTAAACATGAGGTCGGCTTATACATGAGCATATATGTTACTTGTCATCATAATACACTCTTACTTTCCTCTTCCCCCTCCCTTACAATCTCACTCATTAACACTCTACTGTGAGTGGCCCTTGCTTTTTGTATTGGGTGAACTATCAGTTTAAAAAAAAAGGGTATTTCTTCCTAATGACAATCATGAATATTGTTGCAAAGAAATCATAATAACTGTTTCCCTATAAGGAAACATTTGGCATTCATTGACTGGGCAGCCAGTACACTTTTCCATTGAAATTCATAAAATCTTTCTCTTTTAACCAATTTTCCAAGAAAATAGTTTTACATCAAGTTCAGTAGCTGTTATCATTCTTTTCAGTATTGATGGGGGTTTCCTTCCTAACCTTTTATTTGAAGTTGTGTGGAACGCCAACATTTTGATTATGTCATTATTTTCTCTTCATGTTACATGTGCTATCCATTTCAGTTGTTGCTGCTGTTGAAAGTCCTTAACTGATGTAGTTTCTGTTATTTGTTAATGTTATGGTTCTTTCTAGTATTGATGGGGGTTTCTTTCCTAACCTTTTATTTGAATTAGTGTGGAACGCCAACATTTTGATTAGGTCATTATTTTCTCTTTGTGTTACATGTGCTATCCATTTCAGTTATCGCAGTTATCCATTACACCACCTGCACATCCAAGCTTACAGCACTAAGTGGTCGCTCACCTACTTACTGACCAGGCTTGACATTTCTTGACTTTGATGATCATACGAGAACTGGTGCTTCATCATATGGCCATAAGCCTTTGATATTTGAAATGAACTTCCCTTTTCCCAAGCAAAGTGATAATGCCACGAGGATGCAAGGGGTTAATGGGAGTGAAAGTACGAGAATACTTTAGACAGGAGAAATGGGCAATAAAGGAAGAGAAGATGATGATTGATATTGTATTTAAATTTTTGAAAATTTTTGAAATTGTAGGTGGCAGGGAAGGAAGAACTCGACAGGGAGTTCCACAGTAGAGAAGTGTGAGAAAAGAAACTATTAGGATACAGTTGCATAGAGTTAGCCCAACAGTAAAACAGTGAGACCTAGTTGCCAATCTAGTAGCATACTTAAATTCATGCAGTTGACATACTAAGGAGGAAAGAACAATTTCTATGAAAATATTTGTAGAAAAGACAGAGGGAAGCTGTGCCATGTCAGTGGGGAAAGTGACTGAAGTCGAGATGCCAGGTTTGGATCGATTCCATTACAGACTCTTCTTTGAATTTTGTCAAGAATATTGCGATATATAGAAGAAACACCAGACCAGATATGGCAGCAGTATTCAATGCATAGATGAATGGTAGATTTATAAGTGTGAAGTTTTTTTTTTTTTACTTTGTCTTTTAAACATTGATTATGGAATGGTCAATCAAAGAGGTGTTGTTATTGACTAAGAATTTATAACTCAACTACATTATTATTTTTCATGTATACTTTTAAGGACCATGACTTCACTATATCATTATTATTATTATTATTATTATTGTTTTTGTTATATATTAGGGCATACCAAAAATATTTTCATTTGTTTCTTTTGCAGTTTTTTTTTTCTTTTTCAGACCTTTGCACCAAAACTTATTTCACATATGTAGCTAAAGATTAAGATGCCAGGTTACTTTGACTTTTAAACAATGATTATGGAATGGTCAAGCAAAGTGGTGTTATTGACTAAGAATTTATTTGTTCTCAACTTGTTTATAGCGACAGTAGCTTTACATTTCCCACTAAGACAAAGCATTGGTACATAAGTCCCAGTGTAAAAAGAGATTGTTATTTGAGTTCTGGTCAAAAGAATTTTGAATGCTGACGTGGCAAAACAAATCGGCTTTTCTTCTTTAGATGTTTGATGTAGTCTTCTCCACCCATGTTGCTTTATTTGAATTTGTACTATGATGACTTAGGCTAAGTAAATACAAATTTTGACTGAATTTTAGACTTGACTTGGTGGCTGAAGTGGGTGTATGTTGATTGAGCAAGCAAAAAGATAACAAAAAGATATTGACCTTTCAAGACAAGCAGGTACTTCCTACAGAAATAAAAGCACTAGTTTTTTTTTTTAATCTGTTTTGCTATTTGAAGCTAAAATCATACCAATAGTTTATTATGGTGTATCAGAAATATTTTCATTTTTTCACAGACTTCTACTTTAAAGCTTTGTTTTTTTCTGCACATCTACAGAATATTTATAACTCAACTACATTATTATTTTTCATGTATACTTTTAAAGACTGACACCATTATATTATTATTATTATTATTATCATCATCATCATCATCATCATCATCATTATTATTGTTGTTGTTGTTATACAGTAGCACCCAAAATTAAGGAACAAAAATTAAAACTTCAATATCTCAAAAACTATAATTGCAATTTTTTCTGAAATTTTCACTAAATGTCGACAAATGGCAGGCCACTTGTGCTTTAAATCTCAAAGTTAAAGAACAAAACAATGATTTAATAAAAAAAATAATTGGACAACAAAATACAAAAAGCTATATCAATATTTACTACTAAGACCCTTGTTTTGAATCACTATTGCAAATCAGCGTTCACAGGGTTTCACTAAATTCTGACTTTCGACAACTGTAATTTTACCCCATTCCTCCTGTAATTTTTCCGTAGATTTTCAACATTTGATGGAATCCTAGCCACGACATTTCATCCTAATGTCTCCCATAAGTTTTCTATGGGAGTTGTCAGGACTTTGAGCTGGTCAATCCATAACGTCTGTTCCTTGGTCGTTCATAATAAGTAATAAAGCAGTAATCTGATTTGCCTTATGTTAGGGAGCATTATCCTGCATGAACACAGGATTTTCAAACCCAGAATTTTGTAATACCAGTACATGTTCTTGTACAGCATTAACTCTATTATGTAAGCGTACAAGAGATGATGTACCCAGTCTTGAAAACATGCCAAAAACCACCATGTTGATTCAGCCAAACTTGACTGTTTTCTTGGTGCACTTTTAATTCAACCATTTGCCAATTCATCTTCTTACATATTGCTTTCCATCAGAACCAAATACATTAAATTTACTTTCATCACTGAAAAATATACTGGAATACTGTTCTTCTGACTACAACACATGCTTGTTTGCAAATTACAGTCTTGCTGCATTGTTCTTTTTGCTTATGAGCGGCTTCTGTGGACACCGAACATAAAGCCCTATTGCTTGCAAGTGTCTAGATACAGTTTATCGAGACACATTAATGCCATTAGAAATTTTCTGTGAAATGCCGGCCACAGTTCAAAAACGGTCCTTCAGTGCTAGGCGTTGAACGATCCTGTCTTCTCTGGTCATTGTTTTCCTTGTTTCAACTGGTTAAATGACCAGTGTTTTCATATAGTTTCAGAATTCAGCTCAAGATGTTTTTATTTTCAGCAATCTGGTCAATTGTGTCAATTTCACAGTTTGACAACATCAGCTCTTAGAGACTTATCAACTTTTCGTCGGTTAACCATATTGAAAAATAACGTAGTGATGATAATTTTTATTTTAACCTTGTTTATCAGAAATTATGATTATATGCATTATTCTCACATATTTCCCTATTCATTACTTATTTTTGGACAATTGATATTTGAGTAAAAAATAAATGAATCATAGCTCTCTCTGTATCATTCCAAATAACTTACAGATTTGAAGTGCAACTGAACTGCCATTTGTCTACATTTAATGAAAATTTCAGTAAAGTTGGACATATTTTCTGAGATATCAAAAATTTTAATTTTTGTTCCTTAATTTTGGATGCTACTGTATATTAGGGCTGTTGTAGCATACCTGTGGATGATAATAGGTATGTCCCCATTCACATAAATACAGTCGTAAATACTGTATGTTGGTCTAGAGTTTAAGATTCATCTCCAGCTGTCCTGGTCAAACTCTCTGCCTGGAGACAGAGAGGATCCCTGATGAGGCTATGTGGAAGGGTACTGTCTCATCTCAGGAAACGGTTACCTGACCCTGTTTTATACAGGGTCTAGGCGGAATTTTTGGCCGAGCCTATGGGCTTGGATACCCCCACTTTAAGTTTGGCCTTGTGCCACATCTGACTGCGTGGGGTCATTGGTAGATATCCTAGAGTTGGAGATTCATTGTGGAATTCACTTAACTCACTTTTAGCAGTTGACTACTACTATGTGCTGCTGACAAATCTTATATGTGTTGTTCTTGCCCTAAGTATTATTATTCATTACCAACCTTTGTTTGATTATTCTATTCAGTAACCTTCCCTAGGTTATAACAAGGACATATCAAAAGTATTTTCATTTGTTTCTTTCGTATTTTTTTTTTGCAGACCTTTGCATCAAAACTTATTTCATGTAAAGATTATAAATAACAACACTATATTATTGATATTATTATTATCAGAAATGAAGGTGTATCAAAAACATTTTAATTTTTTTACAGCCCTTTACTTTTAAGCTTTTTTCATGTACACATTTATGGAGTATCTATAACTCCACCATGTTATTGTTGTCAGATTAAATCTTGTCAGATTTTTTTTACAAACCTTCTATGAATTTTTTGAAAGGAAGAAGATGCTGGAATATTTCTGGCATCAATTTATATATTTTAATACTTTAAAGGAAGTTCATATCATTTTGATAAACTGTCTTGTTTCAACAGGGTCGGAAATCCAAATGGTACAGTGGAAAGGCGCTCAGCAACCTGACATCTCTTGGACTTTTTGATGAGATGTGGAATCAAGACCTGAAACCAATCCTTATTCCTCGGATCTCTGGAACTGAAAACAATATACTTGTGAGACATGTAAGTTGACACTTTTCTGTTGGAATAGAATCTATTGCATCACAAGACAGTCCATGACATCCAATATACAGTGAATTGAATGACACTGCCTTTAATGTATTTGATTTGGCCTTGCAACCTGTAACATCTGTTTGTATTTCTGATATATTGAGATTTTATCAAACTTTCTTGACACCTAGTCTTCTGTTTGACGATAAACTATATCCAGCAGCAAGGCCTCTGATTAGGAGATTCAAGGTTTTGAGGGGTGTAGAAACACTTAATTTCTGTTATTCACAGGTTCACCCAGAACCAGGGTGGTAGCACCTGTTAGGGTCTGAGCTATGGGCAACTAGTGAACTCCAAACAAAAATTAAAACACAAGGAAAATATAAAAATTTTTTTCATAAAAACATTACCAATAATACATTTTTGTAGTGAAATTACCAACTATATATTATTATAGCAAAACAATACAATATTAAAAAAAAGTATAAAAGCACATTTTTATACTAAAATTGCCAGCAAAACATTTTATCATCTACAAACTATATATCTAAAAAAAAAAATTCCTTTACCTTGAAAGTATAAAATTATGTACAAAATATCTGTAGCGATAAAATTGCATACAAAATATTTAGATTAGATTTCAGCATTAAAAGAACGCATAGAGATATTGATATCCCGCTAAACAAAATCATCCATCCATCAACACAACATAATATTTTAAATGTCAAATAAATATATATATATATATATATATATATATATATATATATATATATATATGTGCACATTTCATTGAATATGACAGACAAGGTGCTTTTATTTAGTTTTTCATTCAATTTCTCATGTGATCTAATAATTTTTTTCTTTTCAGATGATAAATTACATAAAAACTGTCCGAATGTTCTTTCATTCCGAGCACTTACTGCTATACATTTAACCATTTTCAAAGATGAAATATTTTAACTGTTAAATAAGAAATAGTTTGTTGCATGTATATTTTAATTTTTCAAAACATTGTCAAGATAGTGTGTCCATGTTTATAGTTAATATTATTAACTGTTGGTTTTTTGTTTTTATTAATAAGGTTTCCATTATTTTTAACCTTTTTTTTTTGCATGTAGATGATGCTATTATATTTGTGCTGTTAACAAGTATGCTATGAATAGTGTCCGGTAGGTCTCCATGAATATTTAAATGAGATCTAATTAAGCTATGGCCAGAAAGATGTAGAGTGAGTCTTCATGTCAAACATGTTGTAGTGTGGCCTATATAATTATTTACAAATTTTAATTGATCAGGAATACCTTAATGGCCATCACTCAACTGAGCTCTTTTTGTGGATCAGTTTTAATATTTTATATTACTAGGATCCACTTGGATTACATGCCAACAGATTTGTATTTGTTACCTTTACAATATATATATATATATATATATATATATATATATATATACACGCACACACACTGACAAGTCTAGTCAGTACGTAGATGAGATGGCTGCTTGCGAATATATGCTACTTAAGCTTGGATGTGTGGGTGATGTAATAGTTAATGACTCTGAATTGGAAATTGTAGAGCTGAATTTACTTTTGTTACTAATGTTCACTGAACACAAGGTTCGTTCAAGAGCCTCTCAAGGTAGAGGGTTACTGTGTGGTGTTGAATGAGCATAAGAAAGGATGAGAAGGAGCAAGAAGTGAAGTTCTTGGGATTATGCAAGAAAGATAACGGCTAACTCTAGACTTGAAGAGGACAAGATTGTTGGGACTGGGAAGACATAAGTGAATGAACAGGTATCATTAAATCATTATTATCTAAAAAAAAAAAAGAAATCTTAGAATCTAATGGCTCAGAATTGTTAATCGGAGAGCCAAGTTCCAATTTCAGTCAGCTTCATTATATTCACTTCTGTGCAAGTACCCTTGGGAAAGGTATGACTCCACCTCTTCTCTCCCAAGCTATGGGTTAATTAGTAAGACTTGTATCACTGAACCACTATTAACTAAAAAAAAAAATTCTTACAATCTAATTCTAAAGACTAGCTTCCTAACTGCATCAAAGCAGTGTGTAAATTTTTTATATGCATTTAAATTCCAAGGAATTCAGTGGCATAGTCAGTTCAGTCACTCGGTTGGGCAGTGCAAACTTGGTGGATACAGGATGAGAAATAATGGACCAGTAATAAAAAAGAACAGGACAGGATAAGATCCATAGATATGAACAGTGGAACAAGAACTAGTTAGACTTGTAAATGAAATAAAGGGTTCAGTTTTAAATTCTCTGAAGCTGCCCAGATCAAGAGACTCCTGAAGCAAACCAAAAGGTACAATGGTTGAAACATCATGATAACAAGAAAGATTAGTCCCAAATTAAATAAAGATCATCCCAGAAATTTCACTAAAATATGTTGGTAATTTTCCAAGTTTTCATCTGAAATCAAGAAAATGCAAACTTTAAACTCTATAGTAACAAAATACAATTTTATTGTTGAACTCAAAAGATGCAACTACCAATTCTATTCTAACAGTTTTTTTTCTTGCATTCTCACCTGTGCAACTCACTTCCAATTTCTTGCTTCTCTGCCACATACAATCTTCAAAATATTTAAATGCAACATCAATCACCATCTTCTGTCTTTGTGAATACTATTCCTTTATAATTCTTTCCTCACTTCTCCTCACTAATGTTTTCTCATTCTCCTTCACTTCCTTTAACCAACATCTATCCTCATAGCATTATTGCCTTGCATGTTGTGAATTGATTCAAATATATATATATATATATATATATATATATATATATAAAAACATGGTAAATATGGGTTAAAGCTATTATATTGCACTTTTAGTAGTGATTCTTTTTTTATACAGTGTACAGCACACAAAGGTTGGCCATATAAATCTGTCTGTCATTTGGTTCATGAATCTGGTTCAAAGTTCTTAAACTTTCAGATAGTAACGTGTGTACGTAAATGCTTATTTTGTTTTTTTTTTATGGTGAAGTTGCCATTTTTCTTTTTTCCTCACTTTCATGTGTTTCTTTTTACTCTCATTTTTTTCAAGTCAGGCTTCTTTTGATTAGGTTTCTTTTTTTCTGTCAGGTTTCTTTTTACTGCAATCTTTTTCTGGGTGGTTTTTACTACCATCTTTTTTCTGGGAGGTTTTTACTACAGTGTAACCCGAATATAAGAGAGTTGTCGGGACCGGAGAAGAAGTCTCTTATATCCGGAAGTCTCTTATATCCGGGTTTGGTCTATTTTGTTTAGGTAAGTATGGGCTCTAATTTGGGACCAGAGAAAATCTCTCTTATATCCGGGTTACACTGTACAATCTTTTTCTGGGAGGTTTTTACTACCATCTTTTTCTGGGAGGTTTTTACTACCATCGTTTTCTGGGAGGTTTTTACTACAATCTTTTTCTGGGAGGTTTTTACTACAATCTTTTTCTGGGAAGTTTTTACTACAATCTTTTTCTGGGAGGTTTTTACTACAATCTTTTTCTGGGAGGTTTTTACTACAATCTTTTTCTGGGAGGTTTTTACTACAATCTTTTTCTGGGAGGTTTTTACTACAATCTTTTTCTGGGAAGTTTTTACAACTATCTTTTTCTGTCCTGTTTCTCTTTACTATATTTCTTTTTCTGTGTTTATTTTTCCTTCATTTATTTCATCACATTATTCCCACACTCATTTCTTTTCTCTGTTTCTCTCACATTAATTTGTTTCTTTTTCTTTTTCTTCCCCTATTTCAAGTTCTACTTGATTGCCATGTTCCCCACTCCCATTTCTCTTATTTGACTCCCTCACTTTACAGCTATTACGATATTCCTATCCTTCTCATTTTATGCAGCTATATTTTGACTCTTGCACCCTCCTCTTTTTCCTCTTTCTCTCTGTCACTCTACTGCATTTCTTTACCTTCCTCTTCTCTCACTGTTTCTGGTTTTATTTCCTGCCTTATCTTTTTATTTCCTCTTCCTACTCCTCTTATTCTTTTTTCCACCTTTATTCCTGTGTGTGTGTGTGTGTGTGTGTGTGTGTGTGTGTGTGTGTTTAATTTCCTTCTTCCTAAAACCTGCTTTGATTTTTTTATTTTTTTTTTTTATTTGTTGTTCTTCATCATTCATCATTGTTTTTCATTTACTTTTTCCTACTTTCATGTAAACAGTTCCTGGCTCTACTAATGAAATACTTGATTATTCTCCATTCTCATATAACTAACCTACCTTCAGGGTTCAAGGTGAACCATGTGGTTGGGGCCAAGAGTCAGGTGTGCTTATCTGACATGCACAAAACCCAGGCATGTCTTCTTTCGCTTTTGCTGTTTTTATGAATATCTGATGAGAAGACAGAATCACAAGACTTTCTCCATGCTGTTTCCACTAACAGTGATTAGTTCTTGTTACATAATCATCTCTGATGACTGAATAAGAAAAAGTCAAGTTAAACTGGGATAATTTATATTTTTGTAAGCAGTAAACTTAAAAACTGCAAGTGAAATTAGTAGAATGGATAGATGCATGAATATTGGAATGGGGGAGGTAGTAAATCAACAGATTGATTTTGGGCATAAAATAATTTCTTCACCTACCATTAGTAGAGAATGAAACTGATGCACAGGAAACTGGCCACCAAGATATCAGAATACTAAATACTAGATTGCTTGGAAATCTTAGAGATTCACCTTCTCTTTCTTTCCATGACCAACTGTGCAAAGAGAAGTTATTGTCACCATGGAACAGGCACTGCTACTAAGGAAAGAAAGGATCTAAGCTGACATTTGCCTCCCTGCTCACAAGTGCAAGAATTTTAGACTAGGCTGAAACTCCACTTCTCATATGATCACCAAAGTTAAGCAACATCAAGCCTAATCAGTACCTAGATAAGTGACCATTGAGGAATAATAGATGCTATAAGCCTGGATGTGCAGGAGGTGTAATTGATAACTGCCCAGAATTGGAAATCAGAGAGTTGAGTTCCAATTCCAGTTGGGTTTGTTATATTCACTTCCATGCCAAACAATGTTTAGAAAGGTATGAATCCAATTCTTCTCCCTCCCCCACAACTATGGGTTAATAATAGTAATACACACATAGCCATTTTTTTTTCTTTGGAGCTGGGCCGAGATTAATCTCACATAAAGCATGGTGGGTCCTTCCTGAGTCCTAAGTATTAAGACCCCCATCCTAGCCTCATATGTACATGTTGGTTGGTTGTTCCTATAAAAAACTCATCCACCCTTTGATGGTGTAGAACCCAGTTAAAAATTCTAGAAAAAATAATCAAGATATCAATTCTGTGCAAACATTAACATTTATTGACCAATCAGTGAAGTTGTTGGAAATGCAGCTCAAAAGCTTTGAAAAAGCAGACAACCATTTCTGTGTTGTATGCTAAAAAAAAAATGAAAGCTCACATCTAGGAAAATGATTAACAATTTTTTCCATCCTAAAAATCAATGTTAAAAATTGGGAAATATATTTATTAACCAATAAAAGTTCTAAATTTAATAAATTTATCTTTTATCTTCCCCTGATTGAAAATTTTCCTATAAATAGCATAACTTAAATAAATAAACCAGTATTCAGCATACTTCAATCAGCATGTGAATGTTACTGATTTCTCAACTGTTAATTCCGCAGAAATAAAAAATAAAAAAAACTTATTGGGTGCTAAAGTTCCTTTTGTAAAATTATTACCCACTTTAAAAGTATTTTCAGGAACCAGTTTGCATGGTTTATATTACGAAAACACAAAGCGACTGAAAAACAAAACAACATATTTCTGGCTTATTTGTCATTAACTGTATTTATGCTGATATTTAGCTGATTGCCTAACAGTGTTTTTTTGCTGATACATTATGCTATGCACACATAACAGCATAGATTTTGCATTTTTGTGAAGTCACACATACACTCCTCTCTATACTAAAACAAATTAATTTTTCTTATGTGTTGTAAAGAAAAAATTTATTTCCTAAACGCAAACTAAGAAAGAACTGAACAAGGAACTTTATATCATATTTCTTTCAGCTTAAAAGAAAAAACAATTATATTTTACACTCAATAATACAAATCATTTGTTAAATTTGTAGTGGTGTGTTTGAAGATTATTTCTTTTCTTTGTTTTTTACACATTTTACCCCTCTACAACAGGTCTGGTTTTTCATCCTGTGGGGTGACATGCCACCCTTTTCACCATCAGAAATGCTAGCATGGTGATGAGTTTAGATGCCAACTACACATCTATGTGGCAGGTAGTACTGGGTTACATTTTACCAGTAGCAGGCCTAAGCCTGACCTGTAACTGAAAATAGCCTAAAGACGACTGGCATAAGTGATCCAGCTGGAGGGACTTTTTAAAATCTAATATTAACCATAAAGGTCTTTCGGCTTTTGTCTATAGATGAGCTGAGGAGGGCTTAGCAATAATTTTGTTCAAAAACATCACTTGATTGCATTATGCCAGTTTTCATCAGCATTTTTTTAAAATGCCATATCCCTTAACGACATATGATTTTGACTCTCCACAGCTAGCTTTTCTTTATTATACCCCCGAGCTCACTCTCTTCTCCAAGATGGTCTACTTATAATTACAAGTTGCCAATCACTTGTCCAGATGATAAACATACTAAACATAGGGGTACCTCAGAATGGGGCACCAACACACCCGGATATCCCTCCACGATTCCGTCCAACTACGCTAATATTATGTAAAGTTGTTAATGAACCAATTTCTTGTGGGACAACAAAGAAGGGTCTCGTTTGACAGAACAACGTACTCACCTTTCAAATTGAAGTCCTACATGCTAGACAAAGACAAAATGTATTTCGTCGAGAATAAGGCAAGTCATGTTCATCATTTCTACCATTTGACTCTGGTTATGATTCATTATGTCAGCTACACAATTCTTTTCTTTTTAGACTTTTGACTATACAACTATTTCGTATCTTATTCAAAATGTGGACCACACATTCGTTTTCCTGCAATGTCTGGGAGAAACAAAAATACCCTTTTCCTAACTCAAAGTGCTTCATTGATACATGCATTTGTGATAGAACAAACAAATGAATGAAACGGATAAAAGGCAGAGAACAATGATAAATACCAAGAAACCGGTGTAGAGGGAAGGAACGTCCAATCTGAAATTGCGTCCCACAACAGAGTCACTAATTTCTGCCATTCAACTCAGATTCTGGTTCACTATGTCTTCTACAGATATAAACACCCATCTGAGATAGTGAAAGGATACTTTTGTCTCTCTTAGACATGGCAGACAAGAATGGAAGATCTGAATTTTGAACTAGATACAAAATATCCAATCAAAATGCCAATGTTCTAACTGCTCAGATATGTATCCATTTATTATCATTATAATAGACTCATGAATAATCGTATTATGATTTCAAACCTCACCTTCTTGTGTATTATATCTCCCCCTATAGATGATGCCAGAATATACATTGCCCTCATTATCTTTCAGAGAAACCAGACAAAGTTGACCTGACATTGACATCTATATTTGAGATAAGACCTGTACTTGTAACAGCATTCACCCAGGGTGGGTTGAGCCGGCTCCAGTATTGGAGTTTCATGGGAATTTGGAATTCACGAGAGGTCCCCAAACCCGCATATATAGCACATGAGATTTGATTATAGTGGTGAAGGTTTCGTGCAGGACCATCCACACTTTTTGAAGGGCCGATTACAGAGACCTGGTGCACTACGTGCCACAAGGTACCCAACGAGCCTCCACAGGTTTTGAATTCAGAGTTTTCCTTCTCCTAGACCAGTTGCCATCCAAGGCTATAGAACCAAGTCTGTCCTGCTATTTACCCATAGCTGGAGGGAGAAGAAGAGGATTCACACCTTTCCCAAGGCTATTAGCACGTAAGTGAATGTAATGGATTCGACTGGAATTTGAACTCGGCTCTCCGATTCCTCAATCCAAGCCGCTATTCATTACTCCACCGTGCCTCCTCTACTCCACCATGCCTCCTCTAAGAGAGAACTGGGACCAATGACTGACAATATTTGACAATGTCTAAAGTTGAATAAAATGTTTCATCCGACAGATTCAGCCTCATGTTCTTATTTATTGGCATAATGACATTTTCTTTCATTTGTTGTCATTAAAGACCAGGATGTCTTTGATTAACCCACAGAAAATTAACACCATGAGAAACAAAACGCCTCATCACACTTGTTTACATTTTGGTCCACACACCCACTGCAGCTTAGGGTTTTATTATTTCTTTACAATCATAATTGTCAAATAACGATAAGTTTTGTTTGTTTTTTTCTTTTTTTCAGCATATTATCGATCGGTTGAAAGCTCTTGGAATCTGGCATATCGAATTGGATGAATTTCATGAAAAAACTCCTGAAAGAAAAGTGAAATTTGTGAATATAATTGCCACATTGGATCCCTCAGCACCAAAACGTGTTATTCTTGCCTGCCATTATGATTCCAAGAAGTTTCCATTTGAATTCATTGGTGCTATTGATTCTGCAGTACCTTGTGCTCTGTTGCTTGCTCTGGCCAGAGAACTGAAATGCCTTTTGCAACATAGGAAACAGGTAAAGACATATTCCTTTTATTTTAGAACATTTTTATTTGTTTTTTGTTGTTTTTTTTTGGTTTGGTTATTTTTTTTCTTGAGAAACAATAAAAAAACATATTCAAATGTAAAACAAATCTGATTGCAAAAGATTGTTTGATGTCAAGAATATAATTTTCATAATTAGTTATGACAAATGCCTGTTTGGAAATTATGATGTGACACAAAACAACCTAACTATGATTAGAACAGCCATGAAGTAAAGTAAACAATAAATGATTTTATCTGAATGTAAAATATCTGGTGATGTATGACCAGCAGTATAGCCAGAAAGTGAGATGTTTAAAATGACCACTTTCAGTTACATAACACTAATTCAAAATAATTGAAATAATGAAAACTGGTATCAGCAAGGAAAAGCAAAGAGTTACACTTCATCCCATAATAAAAACTGATATATGCAATCATAATATAGAAAATTCAAATTGGCCAAACATAGAAACTAAAAGACCAAAAGAAGTATTTAGTCACACATCACGATCTAGAGATTCCTCACCTATAACCCAAAGAGGAAGATCTCCAACAACAAAAAAACTAAAAAGGCAAATACAAAAAGCAAGAAAGAACACAAGTTAGTCAAAAAGAAAACTCTGTAAGGAAGAATTCTCCTAAAATTAACATAGAGAACAAAAAACAAAAAAATACTCAACCCAGGCAAAAAGGAAATCTTGTACAGAAAAAATCACCTAAAAGCAATCCAGAAAAAATCAAAACTTAAAGATAACCCAACAAAAGTTGAAAACCTTAACAATCATGGATAATATTAGGTTGTCCCAAAAGTTCGTAAACACTTGCAAAAAATTGAAATTTTACTCGCCATGTAATAACAAAAACAACAAAAATTATTCCTCAAAATAAAGATCATCATTTTCCAAGACTTTCTGCCATCGATCTGCAAGCTTTCAGATCTGGTGAAAGTACCATTCAGCTTAACTTCGAATCAAAAGAATTCTTGACACGCTTCCTCGACTTCATCAAACGAGTCGAATCGGCAGCCCTTCAGAAAGTGTTGCATTGAGCGGAAAAGGCCGTAATTTGATGGAGCACAGTCAGGACTGTAGGCTAGATGTGGTAGAACCTCAACACCGTCCAGCTCTTCAAACTTGTCTTTGGTCTTCCTGGTGGTGTGTGGCTTGGCATTGTCCTGCTGCATCAAAGCACGCTTTTGGTTGATCAGAGCCGAGTACTTTTGCTTCAACTTTTCGTAGACCCGCTCCAGTTGCTGACAGTAAAGTTTGGCACTGATGGCACAACCATTTGGAACCAACTCAAAATGCACGATTCCTTCAAAGTTCCACCAAATGCACAACATGATTTAATTACCGAATCGATCTTGTTTTGGAACCGATGGTGTCTCTTGCCCTTTCTGAACCCATCGCTTGTCTCGATTTTGTTGGACCATTTCTCATCCGATGTCACAATGCGCTTCCAAAAAGATGGAATACAAAGATGAAGATCACTATAACAATATAAACGCAAAAAACAATTAAATAAAGATTTTAATGAAATAAATTTTTTTCAAAATTATCAAAATTAACAATAAAGTAAAAAAACAATTAAAAATGCATAAAAATTCAATTTTTCGCAAGTGTTTACAAACTTTTGGGACAACCTAATAAAATCATCTAATAGAATTCAAGAGGGGTGAAGGTAAATTAAATGAATAGCTTCCAATTATTGCAGACTTATGTCCTGTAAAGATATGTCTGTAAGAAAGTTTCTTAAACAACAATTAAAATAGAGATATCAAAAATTACACAGCTTACAACTTCATTAATAATAGTGGAAGCAGGGCTTCGGTGGGTGCTTCTATATTGGTAAAAAATGATATCGCTCCCCAGAGTAAAATTGATATGAATACATTACAGACAGTAGCCATAAGAGCCCCACTACTATCATAAGTTCTATTTACATCCCCCTCCTAAATGATCTTGTAGATGAAACAGAATTAAACAAACTATTGAAGCAGCTCCCCAAACCTCTCTACTCTATATACCCTTATAATCTGCACTTACTTCCTCCTCTTACAGCCCTACAACAATTTCATTCAGTAATCCTCTAACTTCTATGGCTCTTGGGCCTTGTATTGGGTGAACATTTAGTTTAAAAAAAAGACTCCCCTATGGAGTATGGGGCAATAGCTCTCAATACACTAGGCATTGCGGGTGTAGTTTCTGTAGCAGGTTTTTATAGGATAGAGTTTCTCAAGCAATGCCCAACTAGTTTTGAATTTAAAGTTCTTCTGACAAAGAGACCAGTCTACTTTACTATTTAACTGATAACTGCAGGAAGAAGGGTATTGATGCAAAAGTGAACACAGGACACCAGGCTGGAATTTGACCTCTGCTCACTGACTCTACTTCAGTATCCATTACACTGTCCACTCATACATATCCTCTACAACAATCATGATAATTTGGGATGTTAAGCTGGTAAAAACTCAATTTGCCCTTAGTTTATTGTGATATACTTCAAGGAACTTTCTTTGAAAATTTTTAAAAATATATCAAGTAAACATTTAGTTTGAAAAAAGAGAAAGAAATAATGAAAAATTGTGGCTTATTTTTTTTTTTAATCTATTCTTTTCTACTTTTATGTTTTTGTAGGATCTTGATACAACTTTGCAATTGGTCTTTTTTGATGGGGAAGAATCAGTCCGAGAGTGGACAGAAACTGATTCTTTGTATGGTTCAAGACATCTGGCTACAAAATGGCAAAATAGCATTCAACCAAATGGACGGAATAACTTGTATTCAATTGTAAGTATTAAAAAAATATTTGTTGAATTATAGTTCAAAAAATCATTTCGCGTGTTTCATGCACTTTTACAAAAAAAATTCAAAACTATCTATTACATTAGTTTTTGTCTGAGCAATTCATCCCTGAAGATAAGCTTGGTTGAGATTGAAAAGTACTTGGGAAAATAAAAGGAATGAGAAAAACTATGGCACCTTCCTTAATGAGTTTAATGGAAACAATAAGAAACTGATCTGGGAATTTGAAAGGATTAAAATAAAAAGAAATGGACATATGTCTAGATTATTCAACTAAACAAGCTTGAATGAAGATATGTCACACAAATATATATTCTTGAATATATATCCTTCTTTTCTCTCTCCATTACCTCCCCATTTCTGAATACTTTACTTCTTTCCTCTCTCCCTTCCCCCTAATTTTAGATTTGCATAATTTATGCTTAGATTATTGTTTTTTTGTGCCTGGTAAATTTTAACTGTTTATTTGTGTGATCATGCTCGATCTGATGAGTTAGAACTGAAATATTGGGTCTAATTAAATAAAATATTATTATGACGTATTAAAGTCTATGTTTTCTTAATAATAATTATTATTTGCTCTGTTTTTACATTGAGCTCTCCCTGGATTTATATCCTGTTTGTAATTATTCATACAGATTACCAAATAATATAATTATTTATATATATATATATATATATATATATATTAAAGAAAAACAGACCACTTTAAGGTTCCATTATAATAATTTATTTCAACAGAGCCCTTTTAAAGGACGCTGGATCATCAGATAGCACTTCCAAAAGATGTGTGTGTGTGTATATGTATATATATATATATATATATATATATATATATATGAGAGAGAGAGAGACCATGGTGTGATTCAAAACTGGGTCACATGGCCAGAAATCAAACATTCTAACCACTCAGCAACGTGCAATATCATTTGTCCAAAAGGTGACTTCCTGATGTTATTGACCTGGGGAGGTGATCCCAGTGTGCGGCACCTTTGGAAAGTACCTGAAAACCAGACCATGAGTTAACCCAAGACTTGTGAGTCAAATTGGGTAGACAGAACTATTTGGTAGCTGTTGATGGTTCTTCTAGCACAAAGTCCCGAAGTCATCGTAACCGAGGGATTTGAGCAGAGTGACCTTGTTCAGACTGTTGATCACACCAGATATTGTGCACTCTCCCAGGAATGGTAACTAAAGTCTGCTTAGCATAGTTGCAGTATAAACTACAGATGGGCTTTATGGATGTTAATCAAACACAAATGTGCCTGAGCAGCCGTCTGCAACAGGGATTCACAAGCCACACTAGTAAAAAGGCATACTTGGAGACCAGCAGCCAGAGTTACAATCATCAGGTGGTAGCAAGAAACTGAGAATGCATTCCTAAAGTTTGTTATTTTTTATATTTTATGCTCTGTATTTTTTTATATTTTACATTGATCGATGCTAAACCCTACTGCATGGGTATCTATGACACATTTTATACTTTATATGCAATGATAATATTAGCTGCTTCCTTATAAGGAAACATTTGGCATTCATATTCAGTTTTTCTTTACTACCTGGCAATCAGGTTGAGATCAAATTGTAGTCTCTGTTCTTTTCATCTCTAATGGTAATGCTGATATTAATTGCTTCTTTATAAGGAAGCATTTGTCATTCATTGCTGTTTTAGTTTGAAATTTATAAAATCTTTTCTGTTAAAAGGTAAATAGGTTTCTGGAATCCAGTAGCATTTATCACCCTTTCCGGTACTGACCAGATCAATGACCACACTTCTTCAAGACTTGTGGAATCACCAGAACAGAACAGCACCAAATAACAGATACCAATTTGGGATCCATCTACCCAGACATTTTTTATCTGAGTGTCAGGATTTCAAATATTTAACAACAACACGTCTTTTAAATGAAACATAAAAAAAGATTAAGGTAGTAGCAGAATGTCAATTGAAATAACATTCTAAAATATTCTTTTTAGAAATATATAATAGCAATGAAATGTTCAATTTCCCTTGCAGTGAAGTTTGTTTTTTCAAGTAATTAAGAGTTTGTAGCATGGTGTGAAATGTATGGACAGACTTACTTTATGATGGTCAACCTAATGTGTTCATGAGTGTGTACACAAAGGCTTAGTCAGCAGTTGTTGGCTGTCATCTCTTTATTGCGTGTGTGCTGGCCTCCAAAATTGTTTTGAGTCTCAAGAAGCAGCAGGCTTCTATTTTTATATCTGTAAAGTGAGATCAAAAATCTAATTTCATATAGGTGTGAACTTTTTGAATACAAGGTTTTCATTAGTTAGAAAATATAATTTCACACTGGCTCACAAAAATCTTTCTTGAAGGAATTGTTATTTTCTAAATGGTCCGAAAATAATATGTGGTAGGTCTACTACTATGTCCGCCAAGTATTTTGGCATTATTTGCCCTACTAATTATTAAATACTAAACATTCCGATGGAATTTTATTGGTTGAAAAATTACATACAGGATTTAAATCATAAAGGAAAAAGAAAACAAAAAATGTCAGTATAGTGTGAAGTGCATGGATGGATTTATTTTATAATGGTCAGCCTAATGTGTTCGTGAGTTTGTAGACAAAGGCTTAGTAGCTAGTTGCTGGTTAATCCCTTCTATTGTGTGCATGGACAAAGCCTTAGTCAGTGGCCACTGACTGTTGTCTTTTCCATTATGTGCATGTGCAGATCAAACTGGCTGCTAAAATTGTTTTGAGCCACGAGAAGCAGTCTGCTTCTTTTTTTATATCCTTAATAGAGACCTAATTTCACATAGAGGTGTGAACTTTTTCAATATTCTTTTTTTCATTAGTGAGAAAACAATTTCACATTAGTTCATGAAAATCTTTTTCTCAAATTTGAAAGTATAGTGAAAGAAGTTATTATTTTCTACATCATTCAAAAATAACATGTTGTAGGTCTATTCTACATCCGCAGGTATTTTGGTAGTATTTCCCCTAGTAATAATTGCTTATCAAAACTTCTGATGGGATTTTATTGGTTGAAAAATATATATATTTTTCAACCAATAAAATAAAATAGATATATAGGATTTAATTCCTATATTACATCACTTGAGGACTTTCAGCAGCAGCAACAAATAAAATGGATATCATACATAAGTTGAAGAGAAAATAGTGGCATAATTGAGATTTCGACATTCTACACAACTTCAAACCATAGGTTAATAAGTAAGAGCAATAGTAGTTACTAGAAAGCTATTTTTCTGAGAAATTAGATACAAAAGAGAAAGATACTATTTTTTATATATATATATATATATATATATATATATATATATATATATATATATATATATATATATATAATTATTTATTTAAAATATGATTCCAACTCGCAACATAAGAGGTCTCATGTTTCAAAACAAGGGCCAAAAACTTCAATATAATTATTTGAATTAAATTGAGTTAAAGTAAGCTCTGTTCCATCTTCAAGCAAAATTTTTTTTTGGAATAACATATTTCTGAAATTTACGTGTTTTAATAATTGAATCAAAATTTCCATGGTAACAGCTAGGGTGAATTGTTTAAATTGGGTAGGTGTGTGTTGGGTGTTAATAAGTATCAGTATAGAGTTACTTTCATAGATGTCAAGTCAGGGAAAGGTGGGGGTGTGTAAATTTGAAACGGAAGATGTCTTAACCCTAGTCTGATTTGCGTGTCTATGGAGATTTATTAATTTTTTTATTTTATTTTTTTATGAAAGGAAAAAAAAAAAACTGCCGTAACGTTTGTATTTTGACAACTTCATAAAGGGTCATCTTTCTTGTAGGGTATTTAAACTATTTATTTGGGCTATGGATTATGAAAGTTATTATATTGTATGTCTATTGTTTAATAGATTATAATCTATTAAACAATAGACATGAGTTAACGGTTTTTTGTCGACATCATCAAATTCACGGTTTGAATAACCAGCATACAATATAATAACTTTCATGTATTCTATCCAAATTAAGAAACGACCTGGGTATGATGATAAACTACATCCGGCAGCACGGCCTCTGATTGAGAGGTATTGAGAAGAGCGCGGGACCACCTCTTAATTACTGTTGTTCACAGGTCCATCTTGACCCAGGGTGGTAACACCTGTTAGGGTCCCAACTATGGGCAAATAGTTAACACCCCCTCCAAAACTGGGGTATAAACACTATGAAAGTATAAAAAATACATTTTTATAGTAAAAAATACCAGCAATACATATTTGTAATAGAAATTACTAATGCACTCAAGAAAATTAAATTTTGGCATTAAATGACCCATATGCAAATAAAACAAACAAAAAAAAATTTCAGAGAAATGTGTTCAGTAGAGCCAGGTTTGCCAAACGCAGATGCACCATTTTAGTGTTAATATCTGATATGTTATCAAACCAGGAAGAAAACATTTTTATGACTATTATTTTTTTTAATTTTATTATCATTTTAGGCGGCCTTTGTCCTTCTGGATTTGATTGGTAATCGACAAATGAAATTCCATAATTACTTCCCTCTTGAAACTTCACAACTCTTTGAAATTCTGATTAAAATTGGTAAGTTCATTTTTGGTGGCCTGTGGGTCTTTTAATTTACTCAAAGCTGCAAAAATTGAAGGTTTGCATTATATAAATCTAGTCCAAATGATAACATACATACACACACACACATATAATCATTTCACCCCAAGCAAGGTAATGAAACCACTAAGACACAAGGGGTTACTGAGTGTGAGAAAACATGAGAAAGGGAAAAGTTAAAGGTATAAGAACAATAACAGAACAGGCATTAAGACTGATAGAGATTTTAATAATTGCATTTAAATTTTTGAAGGTCAAAGTTAACTGAAAAGCAAGAAGCCAGAAGGTATAATCTTATATTTAAACTAATGAACTAGAATTATCATCCAATCCATTCATTGTGTTCTGTCTCATATTTTTTTTGTTTTTGTTTTCAAGTATCTCACCCCAAGCAAGGCGGGAGTGCCACTAGTGTGCAAGGGGCTACAGAGAGTGAAAGACTTGGTAAGGAGGGGATTGAGGAAAGAATAAAAAGAAGAACTGAGAAGCATAAAAAGAAGAACAGGGATCAAGGCGTCAGAAGATGTCAGTTGACATTACATTTAAATTTTTGAAGATTATATTTATCAGGGAATCAAGTAAGAGGAAAGGAGTTCCACTGTTGGGAAGGGCAAGAGAAGAAGCTGTTAGAGTAGAAGAGGCAGTTACATTTAACTGTTTCAACAGTAAAAGGGTGGGACCAAGAGAAAACTATTTGTTAAATTCATGCTGTTGGTGATACCAGTGAAAATAGCTCGTCAGAGCAAAGATGCCATGAAAATTTTATAGAAAAAGCAGAGGAAGGTTAAAAAGTCCTGGAATTGAGATCCCAATTGCTGGATCCAAACAATTCCAAATCTTTGAATTTTTATCAAAAAAAAAAAAAAACATTAAAAGAAAGGAAAACACTGAATGAAACCTACATGAATATGATTTTCTTTAGACCAGACATTAGAACTTTGAATATATTTAATAAAATTATTAGACCTGCTCTGTTTGGGTAATAGGCACTAAAATAAACTGGTTCACTTGTAAAAAAAAAAAAAAAAAAAATAGGGAAACATTTTTTTAATAAATTAGCATTATTGGTTTGTAAGAGTTAGTCCTTTTTTTTTAATAATGACACAGTGTCAAATCGATCTATGACTTGTATAGAGTTATTGGTCTTAGCTGTTTTGCATATGAAAACACTTTTTTTTATGTTGGTTACAAATTTATTTCTATTTTCATATGGAGATCTATAAGTTGAAAAAGTCAAAAATAGGCTCACCAAGATTCTCTCATGGAATATAATCAAACAAAGTTTATTTTTTAACATGCCCCCCCGTCACTTTACAATCCACACACTTCATCCATTGGTGTTGCAGTGCTTAGATCCCATTGCTGAAGAAGTTTTCATCCAGTTGAT